TTAGGAAGGTGTTCCTAATGTTTTGTACACTCAGTGTTTATCTACATCTATAACCACTAATGCATTTAAAACGGTCTGTGTCACGTGTATCGTGGAGTGAAAAAATAATAATTTAACCACTTGAATACTCTTCCTTTTTCTCTGTCTCTTTTTTAAAATCCCATGTATTCTATGTTTCACAGATGTCAGATGCTATTACATGGAACAGACAAACATACCCTAATGGGATAAGAAATGAGAAACCACTTTCCTAAAAGCATTTTCATGTATTAATTTTTATCCCAGAGGTTGCTTTATTTCACTTCAGAAACTGACATACATACAGAGAACAACACCACCACCACCATCCTTATATTTCCAACTCATGATGAGTTCGGATTTTTTGTGGCCCCCACCCCCATCAAAGTTGTCCATCACTGCCTTAGAGAGAGTTCAGAGCCCTCAAGATCATCCTCGGTTCTGACTACACCTCATACGCAGTGGCCTGTCAAACCCTACAGATGCATCCATTGCAGCATAGATGAGAGGAGCTTTGTCTGAAATTTGCTCTCAAGCTGTAGAGTTCAAACGAATTCTCCAGCTGGCTGCCACCTACAAGAGATCAGCGACCCAGAGTAAAGACAATGCAGGGTGGGCAACTACGGGAAGCCCAATACCATCACTTGCTAGGTTTTTAAACGGACACTAGATGCAGCTGAAGTCGGAAGTTTACATACACTTAGGTTGGAGTCATTAAAACTTGTTTTTCAACCACTCCACACATTTCTTGTTAACAAACTATATTTTGGCAAGTCGGTTAGGACATCTACTTTGTGCATGACACAAGTAATTTTCCAACAATTGTTTACAGACAGATTATTTCACTTATAATTCACTGTATCACAATTCCAGTGGGAAGTTTACAAACACTAAGTTGACTGTGCCTTTAAACAGCTTGGAAAATTCCAGAAAATTATGTCATGGCTTTAGAAGCTTCTGACAGGCTAATTGACATCATTTGAGTCAATTGGAGGTGTACCCGTGGATGTATTTCAAGGCCTACCTTCAAACTCAGTGCCTCTTTGCTTGACATCATGGGAAAATGAAAATAAATCAGCCAAGACCTCAGAACAAAATTGTAGACCTCCCCAAGTCTGGTTCATCCTTGGGAGCAATTTCCAAACGCCTGAAGGTACCACGTTCATCTGTACAAACAATGGTACGCAAGTATAAACACCATGGGACCACGCAGCCGTCATACTTCTTAGGAAGGAGACGCATTCTGTCTCCTAGAGTTTAATGTACTTTGGTGTGAAATGTGCAAATCAATCCCAGAACAACAGCAAAGGACATTGTGAAGATGCTGGAGGAAACAGGTACTAAAGTATCTAAATCCACAGTAAAACGAGTCCTATATCGACATAACCTGAAAGGCCGCTCAGCAAAGGAAGAAGCCACTGCTCCAAAACCTACTTGCAAGCCGAAGAACACCATCCCAACCGTGAAGCACGGGGATGGCAGCATCATGTGGTGGGGGTGCTTTGCTGCAGGAGGGACTGGTGCACTTCACAAAATAGATGGCATCATGAGGAAGGAAAATTATGTGGATATATTGAAGCAACATCTCAAGACATCAGTCAGGAAGTTAAAGCTTGGTCGCAAATGGGTCTTCCAAATGGACAATGACCCCAAGCATGCTTCCAAAGTTGTGGCAAAATGGCTTAAGGACAACAGAGTCAAGGTATTGGAGTGGCCATCACAAAGCCCTGACCTCAATCCAATAGAAAATGTGTGGGCAGAACTGAAAAAGCGTGTGCGAGCAAGGAGGCCTACAAACCTGACTCAGTTACACCAGCTCTGTCAGGAGGAATGGGCCAAAATTCACCCAACTTATTGTGGGAAGCTTGTGGAATGCTACCCGAAATGTTTGACCCAAGTTAAACAATTTAAAGGCAATGCTACCAAATACTAATTGAGTGTTTGTAAACTTCTGACCCACTGGGAATGTGATGAAATAAATAAAAGCTGAAATAAATAATTATCTCTACTATTATTCTGACATTTCACATTCTTAAAATAAAATGGTGATCCTAACAGACCTAAAAGGGAATGTTTACTAGGATTAAATGTTAGGAATTGTGAAAAACAGAGTTTAAATGTATTTGGCTAAGGTGTATGTAAACTTCTGACTTCAACTGTAGGATAGTTGTTCAAATTTAAATGTTTTTATTAAAGGGGCAGTGCAGTCAAAAACGTGATTTCCCTGTGTTTTGTATATATTTCCACACTATGAGGTTGGAATAATACTGTGAAATTGGTCAAATTATCATAATGCACTATTAGTGTAAGAGCTGTTTGAAAAGACCACCTGAAATTTCAGCTTGTTTGGCTGGGTGGGGATTTTGGATTTTGTATAAGTTAATAGACCAATAACAAAGAGAGTTTGCCCTGCTCTCTGCCAATAACAGCTAGTTTTCAGGTCACACATCCCTCCCATTCGGCTCCTCCAATTAGGCCCCTCTCTCAGACCACTCCCAGACAGTCCTAGCTAAATTATTGCTTGAGAAATTGCATTTAGCGAAGAAGCTATTTTTGTTTATTTTTTGACCATTTGAATTGAAAACAATCACAGTAAGGTATTTCATTGTTACTCAGAAAATATTTGATATTGATCTCAAAATGGCTGCATTGGACCTTTAAGGTGTTTCTCTTTTAACCATGTTCGTTTTCTTACGTAAGCTGCACTGAAATTCCGCTTTCCTCACTTCCAAAGTGCTCCATTGTGGCACATGTATTTGTGTAAATAATAACTTAAAAGTAGCAAAATTCTCTTTCTTGCTTTATGGCTCTTACATTTCCCTAGGTACCAATTACTCATAATTTTATCTGTGTTCGGCCCTACATGTTTCAGCAAAGGTTAAACTGCCAGCCTAATAGATCAGACAGAGTGGCTTGCGAAAGTATTCTCCCCCCTCTGCATTTTTCCTATTTTGTTGCCTTACAACCTGGAATTAAAAATGATTTTTGGGGAGTTTGTATCATTTGATTTAAACAACATGCCTACCACTTTGAAGATGCAAAATATTTGTTTTTGTGAAATAAACAAGAAATAAGACAAAAAAACAGAAAGCTTGAGCGTGCACAACTATTCACCAATACTTTGTAGAGCCACCTTTTGCAGCAATTACAGCTGCAAGTCTCTTGGGGTATGTCTCTATAAACTTGGCACATCTAGCCGCTGAGATTTTTGCCCATTCTTCAAGACAAAACTGCTCTAGCTCCTTCAAGTTGGATGGGTTCCGCTGGTGTACAGCAATCATTAAGTCATACCACAGATTCTCAATTGGATTGAGGTCTGGGCTTTGACTAGGCCGTTTCAAGATATTTAAATGTTTCCCCTTAAACCACTTGAGTGTTGCTTTAGCAGTATGCTTAGGGTCATTGTCCTGCTGGAAGGTGAACCTCCGTCCCAGTCTCAAATCTCTGGAAGACTGAAACAGGTTTCCCTCAAGAGTTTCCCTGTATTTAGCACCATCCATCATTCCTTCAATTCTCACCAGTTTCCCAGTACCTGCCGAAGAAAAACATCCCCACAGCATGATGATGCCACCACTATGCTTCACTGTGGGGATGGTGTTCTCGGGGTGATAAGAGGTGTTGGGTTTGCGCAAGACATAGCGTTTTCCTTGATGGCCAAAAAGCTCAATTTTAGTCTCATCTGACCAGAGTGCCTTCTTCCATATGTTTGGGGAGTCTCCCACATGGCTTTTGTCGAACACCAAACGTGTTTGCTTATTTATTTCTTTAAGCAATTGCTTTTTTCTGGCCACTCTTCCATAAAGCCCAGCTCTGTGGAGTGTACGGCTTAAACTGGTCCTACGGACAGACACTCCAATCTCCGCTGTGGAGCTTTGCAGCTCCTTCAGGGTTATCTTTGGTCTCTTTGTTGCCTCTCTGATTAATGCCCTCCTTGCCTGGCCCGTGAGTTTTGGTGGGCGGTCCTCTCTTGGCAGGTTTGTTGTGGTGCCATATTCTTTCCATTTTTTAATAATAGATTTAATTGTGCTCTGTGGGATGTTCAAGGTTTAGGATATAAGTTTAGGATATTGCTCCTTGGTCTTCATGGTGCCGCTTGCTTGGTGGTGCCCCTTGCTTAGGGGTGTTGCAGACTCTGGGGCCTTTCAGAACAGGTGATTATATACTGAGATCATGTGACAGATCATGTGACACTTAGATTGCACACAGGTGGACTTTATTTAACTAATTATGTGACTTCTGAAGGTAATTGGTTGCACCAGATCTTATTTAGGGGCTTCATATCAAAGGGGGTGAATACATATGCACGCACCACTTTTCTATGATTTATTTTTTTGAATTTTATGAAACAAGTTATTTTTTTCATTTCACTTCACCAATTTGGACTATTTTGTGTATGTCCATTCCATGAAATCCAAATAAAAGTGAATTTAAATTACAGGTTGTAATGCAACAATATAGGAAAAACGCCAAGGGGGATGAATACTTTTGCAAGGCACTGTATTTATTTTAAACAGCGTAATGAAGAATAAACAGAAAAACTTTGAAAAGATTGAATTCCTGAACTGCCATGAAACATGAAATAAATAACACATTTCACAGACATTGTGTTTTGTAAACTTATTTTGCAATTTATTGCGGTGAACATAAACTGGAAATAATTTTTATAAAATTGAACAATTGGCATGTAAGAGTAGGTATGTTGATACAAACAAAGATATAAAACCTACCAAATAAACCTACCATTAAAATTATAGACTGATCATTTCTTTGTCAGTGGGCAAACGTACAAAATCAGCAGGGGATCAAATACTTTTTTCCCTCACTGTATAACCTTATGACATTTCTTTGATAGATTGTCTATTTTTGCAGTTATCCAGAGGGTGTTTTGTGCTGATCTATACCAAGTGAGTTCCACCACGGTTTCCTCTGAAAACTCCAGCAATCAAAGAGAAACGCCCAGGATGAGAGCCACCCCAATGACGACGGATGGAGAAGCCACTCCCAGGACGACCATTGCTGCGCAACTTGCAACCTTTGCCTCTGGAGCATCTGCTGGCTTTGCTTCTTCTTGTCCGAATCTTCTTCTGCAATCATGAAAAATATTAATTACATTTTTTTGCGTGAAAAAACTGAATAATTAGACAAGAATAATCTGGAAAACAAGGTGCATGTTTACTTTCTCAAGAAGCATGAAGTTCAACCTTCATAAGCAGACAATGCACTTTTCAAATCTGCATTTTTTTTATTTCAGATCAACTTTTCTGACACTGTTAGGCTACTTTTATCATTACATCCTAACTAATGTAGGTAGGGAGGTGTTGAGAAATAACTTGCATTGCTCAGTACCTGCACAGCATCTTCTGCCTCCATGTATTCACAAGAAATTTCAGACAGTTCAGTGTTGACGTTGTTGCTAGCCTCCAGAATCGGATGTCTGACCTTCATGCTGCACGTCATTAGTTTCTAGAGGAAGGAGTAATTGACAGTTAGCCATTTGCTAACCTCAGCATATTATTTGTCATTTCCTGCTTCCCATGATTATTATTCCCCCACAATACTGTAAAATCCAATTGTTCTTACCCCATTTGTCTTCAGAGGGCATGGTTTGCCTAGCTGCCCCTGTGCTTTACTGCAGAAAGTCTCCTGCATGGGGAAGGTCAGCCTTACAGACACCTCAGACTGGTCCACATCCTCTGTATTCAACTGGGATCAGAGAGACAAAGACAATAATGGGACTTATAGTATTGTCATTTCATTCAATTGTCATTTCTTCACATTGAGTCTATTTCTTTTTCACAAAAAAAGGCTTGGAAAATGTGTACATGATGGTGCATATTAAATAGACAATTATCCCTTGACTTGACTGAAAGAAAAATATTAAATAAAACATCAGCACTGTGTAAATAAGAGGAAGGAAACGTTCATACTGTCAGAATACTCACAGTCTCGACTTCGAGCTGGTTCAGAATTGGACTGAAAGCCTTCTCTTCACCAGGAAGCAGCTGAGGCAAAGCAACTGAGATGATGTCTTCATACCTGATCTCAGTCTGGTTCTGAGCTCTGACCAGCAGGACAGCCAAAGCGAGCAGGAGGAGAGATCTCACCTGAACCATCTTCTTCAAGTCTGATTCCTACTTCCTACATCTTCTGTTTTATAGTCTGTCTGTTGTTCTTACAAGAAAAACCAGGGTTGAGCAATCCAGGCTTTTGGGAAACCCATGCCTGCAGTGTAGTGATTCTTTTTACCGAACTAGGTATAATCTGTTTCCAGAAAAAGCCCCTAAATGTTTCAACAAAGCCTAATTTGTCTGCTAAATAGATCAATCAGAGCATTTGCCTTTAATATTGCTAAATTAGATATACAGTACCTGTCAAAAGTTTGGACACACCTACTCATTCAAGGGTTTTTCTTTATTTTAATTATTTTCTACATTGTAGAATAATAGCGAAGGCATCAAAACTGTGAAATAACATATATGGAATCATGTAGTAACCAAGAAAGTGTTAAACAAATCAAAATATATTTTATATTTTAGATTCTTTGAAGTAGCCACCCTTTGCCTTGATGACAGCTTTGCACACTCACATAACTGTTACTGTCCACTGTTATATTTTGCAATTAAATGCAAGCATAGATTTTATCCTCAAATCTATACAAATATGTTTTATCTGATTGATCACGCCTTGAATACGCTTCAGGGTTAACTATATTGTTGTTGTTACTATGATGACAATAGGAACAATATTGTTGAGGTTACAGTTTGTCAAAAGTGCACTTCAATGACATATGGAGGTGAGTGTTCTTGAGTGACGTATGTTTCTGAAGGTGCTGGCCAATTAGAAGTAGGAAAGGTCAGCCAGGAAAGTTGTGAAGCGTCTCATGATTCATGTTCCCCCGTCAATGAAAATGTGTGTTGCAACTCTGGTTTCCCAGTCTGTCTGCCACTAGGTCAAAGAACCACCAACTCACATACACAAACTCACAACTCACAACTCACAAGCACATACCATAAAACTAACCAGTTACAGAAATCTTTTGATTTCTATATCTAGCTTATCTGTACATTTTAATAATTTGTATCATTTTGAATTGACGAGGTGAAGAATATTAGGATACTGAGCTGTTTCACATATGGATTTGGTAATGTGGGTAAATAGGATCTTCTGTTTGAATGTAACATATTTAAAATGGCTATATATCAGTTAGTGGGCAGTTATACTGTACAGTCGTGGTCAAAAGTTTTGAGAATGACACAAGTATTGGTCTTCACAAAGTTTGCTGCTTCAGTGTTTTTAGAAATTTTTGTCAGATGTTACTATGGTATACTGAAGTATAATTACAAGCATTCCATAAGTGTCAAAGGCTTTTATTGTGTTGACCCTTCTTTTTAAAGACCTCTGCAATCCGCCCTGGCATGCTGTCAATTAACTTCTGGCCCACATCCTGACTGATGGCAGCCCGTTCTTGCATAATCATAACTTGGTGCCCCTATCCCGCAGCTGAATCAACTTTAGGAGACGGTCCTGGCGCTTGTTGGACTTTCTTGGGCGCCCTGGCGCCTTCTTCACAACAATTGAACCTCTCTCCTTGAAGTTCTTGATGATCCGATAAATGGTTGATTTAGGTGCAATCTTACTAGCTGCAATATCCTTGCCTGTGAAGCCCTTTTTGTGCAAAGCAATGATGACGGCACGTGTTTCCTTGCAGGTAACCATGGTTAACAGAGGAAGAACCATGATTTCAAGCACCACCCTCCTTTTAAAGCTTCCAGTATGTTATTCTAACTCAATCAGCATGACAGAGTGTTCTCCAGCCTTGTCATCGTCAACACTCTCACCTGTGTTAACGAGAGAATCACTGACATGATGGCAGCTGGTCCTTTTGGCAAGGCTGAAATGCAGTGGAAATGTTTTTTGGGGATTAAGTTCAATTTCATGGCAAAGAGGGATTTTGCAATTAATTGCAATTCATCTGATCACTCTTCATAACATTCTGGAGTATATGCAAATTGCCATCATAAAAACTGAGGCAGCAGACTTTGTGAAAATTAATATATGTGTCATTCTCAAAACGTATGACCACGACTGCAGTGGCGGCTCCTGAAAAAATTCTCAGGAGGGGCAATTTTTCTGATGATTTAGGTGACCTACACACATTTTTAAAAAGATATGTCCAGCAACAACATGAAGACAGGGGCAGCATATAAGTCAATACCAGAAGCATTTATTGACTGATCTCAAAAGTGTTGGCTTACAAAAGCAAAATAAGTTATCACAGTAAAAATAATCAAGGGTGTTCTTTCACATTCCTCAACACTGCATAAACAATATGTATGGCTTTGTAAAAATGAACAACCATATTCTGGCCAATTGTATAGATTTGTAAATATGAACAACCATATTCTGGCCAATTGTATAGATTTGTAAAAATGAACATGAACAGATTTTTTATTTTTTTGAATGGCAGTACCTTTCAAACATGTCTGCTTGCACTAAGGTAGCACTCACAAGGTGGCCAGAGAAAGAGAACCTTTCTTTGGTGTGATCCAGGATGGTGTTGCAGACCTCTTCAGACAGCCTCTGCTTCTCCTCTTCTCTCAAAGCTGTTCTGGGTCTTTTGGCTCCTGTTGCTTCTTGCAGCTGCTGTTGAGAGGAGTCCCTGAAGGCAAACAGACCAATGTGTTTGTTGGCTTTGTACAGTATTGTTGTCTATGTGATGCACAGGTATATGCAATGTATCCATGTATAGTACAAATACTTAAGTTCCACTTAAAATGGGCAGGGATGCATAAAGTCTTTAGTGTTTAAGTTAGCCTTTGTGTCTCACATAGCCTGGATGTTCAGCACAGTATACAGTGGTGCTCATAAGCTTATGATCCCATGCTAAAGTTGACTAAAAAGAGGAATAAAAAAGAAAAGAAAATTGGTGTCCTTAAAGGTTGGATTTTCCAACTTTTTTAATTAAGTCATTAAGATCAATTTCCAAAAGATGATTTTTTTATTTTTTTATTCCTCTTTTTAGTCAGCTTTAGAATGTGTTCATACACTTATGAGCACCACTGTACAGTACACATAGTATATAAAATAAGATAGATTACACCACTGGCCATATATAATGACAATAATGTAATTTCAAACACAAATGCAGTCTCCTTTCATGCATACATTTTCAAATAAAGCTCTGCTTTGAGAAAGATCGAATGATATTGTTTAATCTTTATCTTACCTTATGGCCTGCACACTGCTTGCGAAGCTGTCGAGGGCACGTTTGATAAAGACAGCATCGATGTCCTTATTCTGTAGCTTCTGGTACGGTGGGCTGGTCAAATGAACCCAATGAACCCGTCCGGATGGCTTCAAAACATTCTATGAGGTCGTCTCGATTCTCGTAGACAGTGTTCACGACTCTGCTGTTGCTAACCTCATCGTTGTGGCGGCGGACAGCTAGCCTGTATCCCTCATCCAGTTGAGTGGCAATATTCACTCTCACCAAAGCAGACAATCTCAAACAGCTATCAATGTGGGTCTTTGACAGCTCATTTTTCTTAATCTTTTCTGAAAGATGGTGCATGTCGGTTACACCAGTCGCTGTCCAAGCGTTGCTGTCTGCCGTTCATGGTTACGTTACGTTACGTATGACGAAAGCGCGTAAGTGCAAGCCCTCAGACACCCATAGAGAATGTATTGAAAGCTCAGAAATTAGAAAAAAAAATATTTTACATTAGAGGCTATGAGAGACTTCTGGGCGATTTTCAACCTGACTGAAATCGCCCCAAAACGGGCGGGGACATTTGAAGCACGACTTTAGCCTAATTGGACATTTAGTGGCTGGCAGATCAGACGTGAACACTGAACTACTGTTGCCATGATATAATTGATTAGAAAAAAAATCCCTTCCTTTTCCCGTTTGGCAGTGCGTCGCCCATATCGCCCTATTGAACACACCGCCCATGCACGACTGTACATAACAGTAAGCCTACAGTGAGGAGAAAAAAGTATTTGATCCCCTGCTGATTTTGTAAGTTTGCCCACTGACAAAGAAATGATCAGTCTATAATTTTAATGGTAGGTTTATTTGAACAGTGAGGGACAGAATAACAACAAAAAAATCCAGAAAAACGCATGTCAAAAATGTTTTAAATTGATTTGCATTTTAATTAGGGAAATAAGTATTTGACCCCTCTGCAAAACATGACTTAGTACTTGGTGGCAAAACCCTTGTTGGCAATCACAGAGGTCAGACGTTTCTTGTAGTTGGCCACCAGGATTGCACATATCTCAGGAGGGATTTTGTCCCACTCCTCTTTGCAGATCTTCTCAAAGTCATTAAGGTTTCGAGGCTGACGTTTGGCAACTCGAACCTTCAGCTCCCTCCACAGATGTTCTATGGAATTAAGGTCTGGAGACTGGCTAGGCCACTCTAGGACCTTAATGTGCTTCTTCTTGAGCCACTCCTTTGTTGCCTTGGCCGTGTGTTTTGGGTCATTGTCATGCTGGAATACCCATCCACGACCCATTTTCAATGCCCTGGCTGAGGGAAGGAGGTTCTCACCCAAGATTTGACAGTACATGGCCCCGTCCATCATCCCTTTGATGCAGTGAAGTTGTCCTGTCCCCTTAGCAGAAAAACACCCCCAAAGCATAATGTTTCCACCACCATGTTTGACGGTGGGAATGGTGTTCTTGGGGTCATAGGCAGCATTCCTCCTCCTCCAAACACGGCGAGTTGAGTTGATGCCAAAGAGCTCCATTTTGGTCTCATCTGACCACAACACTTTCTCCTCTGAATCATTCAGATGTTCATTGGCAAACTTCAGACGGGCATGTATATGTGTTTTCTTGAGCAGGGGGACCTTGTGGGCGCTGCAGGATTTCAGTCCTTCACGGCATAGTGTGTTACCAATTGTTTTCTTGGTGACTATGGTCCCAGGTGCCTTGAGATCATTGACAAGATCCTCCCGTGTAGTTCTGGGCTGATTCCTCACCGTTCTCATGATCATTGCAACTCCAAGAGGTGAGATCTTGCATGGAGCCCCAGGCCGAGGAAGATTGACAGTGCTTTTGTGTTTCTTCCATTTGCGAATAATCGCACCAACTGTTGTCACCTTCTCAC